CGCGGGGCAATAGCGGAAGGATGGAACGCAATATAGATGACGATTATTGTTGTGGGAAAAAAAGACACCCTTTTTACTCGCTCTTTTTTAGAGCGATAGATATGTGAGTTTTACGTCCCAAAACCACCATATGATTAAGAGAGACGCCGTAGGGAAGGGCTCCTGAAATTTCGACCACCTGGGGTTCTTTAACGTGCACCCAAATCTGAGCACACGGGCCTACAACATTTCCGCCTTCATCGGAAATGCAGCCGCCGCAGTCGGGATTTGAACCCGCGACCTGCGGGTCAGCAGCCGAGTACTTTAGCCACTAGACCATCGCGTCGGGGCTCTTTTTTAGAGTGTTGTTAATATTAGATGCGAAGCAGCTCTTTGACTAGCCTGCGTAACGCCCTGCCGTGGTGGCCTAGTCGCTGAGGGACTCGGCTGCTGACCCGCAAGTCGCGGTATTTAATCTTGGCTGCATCGGCAGCATTTTCGATGGAGGCGAAAATGCTGTAGGCCGGTGTGCTCAGATTTTGGTGCAAGTTAACGAATTCTGGATGGTCGACATTTCGGGAGCCTTCCGCGACGCCATGTCTCAAAACTATATGGTGGTTTCGCGACGTTAAACCCCACATATCAATCAATGAGCCTGTGTAACACTATCCCTCCGTACAAGTGAGGTCACGCTCTCCTCGCTGAGTCCCTCTCCTCCTCGTTTGCCACGCGCTCGCTCCACTACGCAACCGCCACTCGCCAGTGGCCACACCACTGACTCATCGGTTCACGCGCGATAAACCTGACGTGTGCCTAACGTACGTGTTGAAACGTGTCTGCGCGTGTCACTTCTCGCTTGATTCGCCCTCTTCACGACTCTCAACGAGTGGTAACACTCTTTCAGCTCGTTTATTTGTAATGGAGAGCACGCCGGAAGAAGACGCTCCTTCGCCCACCGAAACATCCGCCGAAGTAATTACGCCAAACCCAGCCGTCGATGGTGTTGCGATGGTTAACGAAGACTAGCGCTTCCGCGAATGGCAACGTCCATTACGTGCGTAATTGCTATGACGAGTTTTGGTTAAAACCATTCTTACAGCACCAGCGTCGACACCCTTCTCAACCGGGTCAACGCCATGCGCACCGCTGCGCATGGCCTTGGAGAGGGTAAAGCGAGTAAAAGCACCCAGTAGAGAGGGTGAAGCGAGTAAATGCACATTTTAATGGATGTCAGTGGGAAAACGTGTGTTGCGAGCAGGCGGAGGAGCAAAACTACCTGGGTGTGCTGAGAGACACTGGCAGCTGCTGGGGGGGGGGGGAGGGAGAGAGTGACGTTAATGTGCAGCTGCAACTTGACCTACAAGGCATTGTTCCAACCAATGCGGCAGGGGAGACGTGGTGCACGGAAACATGGGCGAACAGCGTTAAGGCTGGTGCACAACGGTGACTAGCAGTGGTTGCATGACCAAGAAGCGATCAAGAAGCGACTGATGTTCACACCGGCAAAGGCTGCATGCGAGCGACCGGAAGTCGCAAACCTGGAGAGTCACATCCGGATCTCGTTATCAGCGAGAACTCTGGAGACCAGCGCCGATGAGCTGATCGCCGTTAGCTGACTGAGTGGAGCGAACCGAGCACCCCGCACTTATTGTTTTCGTCTGTTCTCGCACAGCGTTCCCAGCAGCGTCAAGGAGTTCGATTCAAGCTAAGAACAAGAAATTGGCATTGTGCTGGTGCGCTGTGTCATGGTGTGAGCGCTGGCAGCACAGATGCCTCCAAAAAAAAAAGGTGGTGGTGGGTGTTACCATCACTTCGATCGCGAGAGTTGGCCGGCCATGCAAGCTGCCTACCTCCAGAGCTGCGCTGAGACGACGAGGAGCATTTCCGAGAGTCGTACATATTCAGAAACACTCTTGAATTTACCTTGGCTTGCCACAGCCTCCAATGCCGCACAAACGCTTCTCGAACGTGGTGTTTTAAAGGGCCAATAAACAGGCTCCAACTTCTTTTTACACCCCCCGTACAAGCTCGGCAATTCCTGGATTAGACCGCAGCAATCACGTTTTCTGAATATTAAATCGCTGCGCACCGCGCAGAGCCTCTACTTAGAAAAAAAAAAATTCCGCGCATCTTTCCTACACCTGACCGACGCTCTTGCATGCGCAGTGACGTCAACACGGTGATCGATGACGTGACATAGCACGCAGCTTGCCGATTGGTCTAAATCAGGTATGAAAAACAGTAGTGAAGTCAACGTCACTTCCTGTTCCCACCGACAGCAACGAAACTTCCCCTTGTTTCTTGGCACAGCGGTGAAAGAACGAGCCTCGCAGTTGTCGCGTGCATGTTTACACTCCTCGCTCAACTACAGCGCCTGTGCGCACATACAAACATACTTCCAACGCTGACTAAATTTCAAGGCCGAAAGGCTGCCGCAGTGACGTCAGAGGGTAGGAACCCAGTTCGCGGCGGAAAGCCTGTGTTTCGTCACGTTTTAGGAGAACCAACGCCCCCGCTGTCGCAGCTGCTGCGGCTTGATTGGGCCGAATAAAAGATGTGGAAAAAAAAGTCTTACTGAGCATGCTCAGTTGGGCAAACGGGCCCCCAACCTATGACGTCACTGTGGCAGCCTTTCGGCCTTGAAATTTAGTCGGCGTTGATACTTCGCCCTTGACATGAGCAACACGGGTAAAAAGCGCTGCTCTGTTGTCGGCTGCAAATCGAGCAATTAGGCAGCGGAGAAGCATCGGCACCGGGTACTCCATGATGGGGCCCTGCGTGCTGCATGGCTGAAGCGGATCGGCCATCCAGCGACGTACGTCGGGGACCTGGTCGTTTGTGGTCGACACTCCGCACCTGACGCTTACACGGTTGACCCGCGGCTGGTGCGGCAAACGGTGAACAAACAACCACGCTTCGCAGCAAGTGGAAGTGCGTTGCGACTGATCGAGTTTACCGATGACGTAAATCGCTGACGTGGTGTCACGTTGCCGAAGTTGGCGGAGTCAAGACGATGGGCTACGCATTCCCCTTCATGAAAGGGAGAAGGGGGGCGAGGCCGCACGAAAATTTGAAACCAGCTTAGACCGATGTTCTAGCCCCTGTAATTTCCTTAATATAGCACGTATTGGCGAAATTCCTGCGGCAGCATGCTCGCAAAAAAAGCTGCACATATTTCTCTTCAAAAAATTTTTGGGACCTCAGGGCTGTTTACTGGGCCTTTAAGTCGTTGCCAATGCATATAGCACAAACTTGTTCCAAACGTGCTGCATTGAAGGCAGTGACAAGTCAAGTTCAAGACCAAAACGATTCTGAATAAGATGAAAGATATTGCACAATATATTATCTCTTTATTTCGACGGTGTTTAGCTTCTTGCGAATGCCGCCACGTAAATTCGACCCTTTGCTCAAGCTGCTTAGTCCCGCCATCTCCAAGCCAAGTATTCCGTGGTGGCCATGGTGCAACAGACCCAGAGGAACGCACTCGTTTGTATCAGGCGGCAGGAGGCCAGCGCAAATAAACAAACAAAAGAACGAAATTTGAGCATCTCTCATTGGTTCCAGCAGCTTTGCGACTGCAGTCGCGCTGCTGAAAAATTGGTCAGGAAGCGACTAGCCAAAGCAGTCACTTTGCGATCGTTTGCGACCATTCGCGACTGTTTGCGACCAGTCGCAAACGGTCGCGCGACCGCCGCTAGTCGCCAGTGTGCAGCAGCCTTTACACAGGCTAGTCTAAGAGCTGCTTTGCATCTAAAACACGGCCGATAAACGCCGGGCAGGAAGAAAAACGGGACGCGACGTACGAAATGCTCCTCTTCCTCTGGAAAAACTGACAGGGTGAGAATAGAACGCTATGCGCGCGTCTCTCTCCTTGCATAAGAGGGCACGCTGGGCAAGCGACGCTACGCTAGCAAAACGTGAGCTCCGACGTGAAACGCCACTGATGTGACCAGGGTCCGTTGGCGCGCCCATAGTTGCCACCGTTCCAAGGCACGCGGCGCTTGCAACTTCCGATCGAACCCGCCAATTTGCGTAGGTGGAAGGAGCTGCAACGAACCTTCGCAATAATAATAATAATAATAATAATACTAATAATAATAATAATAATAATAATAATAATAATAATGAAAGATTAGTAGTAGTAGTAGTAGTAGTAGTAGTAGCAATTCTTGGGACTTGACGTCTTATAACCTTGAACGCCTTAAGATATAGACGTGCCCTATTTAGGGTACGTCTTTGTATGATGGTCGAGTGGATGTGCGGAAGATTTGCGGTTTACCATATTTACCCTCCGGATCGAGGAAGCTCTTTCGTGATCATTCACGTCGTAGATATGGAGACATTGTTCTTTTTTTTTCTTTTTTGAGGGGAAGGGGGGGAAGTAGTAGCAATAATTTGCACGTGGTCAATCAGTAACGCTCTGTCCTTTTTTTTTCCAAAAAAGTTGCTTCTCTCTTTGTATTTGTTTGATCCTGTAGGAGAAATTGTCACTGTTAAGTGACCTTATGTAAAGATTAGCAAAGCGCGCTGTGCTTATACCAGCGTACAGGAGCAACGGCTTTCTTCTAAGTAATTCTAACGCAATTGCTGAGTGGGAATGATTACGCGCGTGCTCACAACGCCGAAGCTGAAGGGCAAGACCGAAAGCGATGCATTAGCTCTGCCACAAATCTGCATGAGCAAGCTTGACGTAGTGTGTCTTCCGCACTTCGTTATTTCTCTGGCGGCGTTGGCTCTGGTTACGCTTACGAGCCGTCGCTGCCGTTCCCGTCAAATAGAGTGTCGTTATTGGATGATCACGTTAAAAGAAACGACTCTGACTGATTTACGTACACGTGCCTTAGCGCGTGAACTGGGAGCAAGCAGCGTAAGCAAAAAGGTGAGACTCTTACCCGTGTTTCTGCATTCGCACTTTTTTGTTTACACTTCAATGTTGTGTAATACCATCAGAAAAAGGGTATAGAGTGATCGCGCTTCGAAGAGATTTCGTACTGCGCCCTTTGCCCGGAAGAACCACCGTTCAAGTGTTTCCAACGTCGCCCGCAGCGCCCACTAGTGAGGCCGTGCCTTTGTGATAAGACGGCTGTCCAGTACGTATACAGCGACGAACACAGACGGACGCTGGCGTCTGCATGAACTGGTAAGCTCAATCTTAGTCTCTAATTGTAAGCTGTAACGAGGCTGTCTAAAACTGGCATTTTTTCCCCTCTACATAACGTGAAGGCGCAGCTTCGACGCCGCGTTGAGTTTCATTAAAAATAGACGCACTGTTTCGCCCAGCAGTCGAGTCGGCTTATGTGAAAGCTACCTGTGCGTCCGCGTGCAAGGTTTCTCAAAATGGCTTTGTGTCGGCAATCCCCATTCTCGTGTTATTCCTTCCAAATTCAGACTCGTGGTTTGAAATTGCCTCCTGTGTGATATGCTAGTTCGTTTCCATTTATTTGACTCTAAAAGACTCTAATTTGACTCTCATTTATTTGAGAGCAACGTCATGCTTAAAAAGTATCGTTGTAACTACTCCTTACCTTTAACGTGAGCTTAACAAGTAAACCACTATGTGTTGCATTTCTAGGATGCAGCAACTAACACAGGAGACACCGAAATACTCTCCTAAATCCTGTTGTCGGTGGGGCGACCCACGGGAGTATCGACGCGACATATATCAGTGCTGTTTGCGTGCGCCGCTTACACTAGGTGCACCTTCACGCCATATCTTGAAATTGCCATATCACAAACATCGAGTTGTTCTCTATCGACCACATCCTTCACCGTCCGTATCAACAAGGGCAGTCACCGATATATCTCGCAGCCACTGCTGTGAGACGACATAGCTCGGATAACAATCGTGAAGGGGGAAGTTTACTAAACAAAAAGTCCAGTCTTCAACCAAAACGTGTTAATAAATGTGCTTTCCAGCATTTCAATTGCACCCTGAAATTATGTTTTGTTGTCGCCACATGCAGTCAAAACGTTACGTGAGTAAAACATGTATGCATGCATGCATATAGATAAAAACATTGTGGAAGGAAGGCGAATCTACTAAAAGGTTGGTAATCGATCAGAAGCTGGTACACGTGCGCCCTTTGGATATGTTTGTCTGTTTTTAGATTGTTATGTTTTCATATCAAAGTTAAGCGCATTCGAAAAATTGGCACCCAAGAAACTTTTTCGTTGCTCAAAAATGTACTTTGTCGCTGCTGTGCAGTCGTCCCATACACGTTTGCTAGAACATTTTTCAATTTCACAGCCGAACTTGATGTACACCATAAGTCGATGTGTTTAAAATCTTTTTTGTTGACCTTAAGTGATATCACTGAAATTTGCGGACATGGTTCTTCTGTGCAGTGCACCCCCCCCCCCCCCTCCAAAAAAAATTTGTGGGCCACCCTAATCAGAGAAGGATGTAAGCTTTTAGAGAGCTAGTGATGTCTTCTATTGCAAACAAACATTTAAAAAGTTCCAAATAAAAAAAATTATTCATATGTGGGGTTTAACGTCCCAGAACCACCATATGATAGACGCCGTAGTGGAGGGCTCTGGAAATTTTGACCACCTGGGGTTTTTTACCGTGCACCGAAATCTGAGCACATGGGCCTACAGCAATTCCGCCTCCATCGGAAGTGCTGCCGCCGCAGCCGGGATACGCACCCGCGACCTACGGGTCAGCAGCTGAGTACCTTAGCCCCTAGACCACCGCGGTGAGGCAAATGAAAAAAAAAAGAACGACTTTAAATCACAGGTGGGAAAAATTGTTGTTCTAATAGTAGCAAAAGGTAGGGAAAACATTATTATAATAAATAGTTCTTTTTATAAAGCTCATTTTAAATTTGTATAAAAACACTTCGTTTAAAATTTTAAAATATTTTTTTTTGGTGGAAGTCAGTTTGTACTATACAAAACAATGCTGCTTGCCAAAGATGCATCTTCTTCACAAGTGCAATAATCTGTTCCTTCGTTTGCTTCATAAGTAAAATTTAGCGTACTAAGTAGAGGGGGGGGGGGGGGGGGGCTAAGCTAATCACGCTGGTTTTCAACCCTTTGCTGCTCATTTATCAGTTTGCATTCTAGATAATTTCACAGTTTCGATTATTATGCTCTAGGGAAACATCGCACAGGTGTAAATTCAAAATATCTTGAAACAGTAGATAATATCAGATTTTCGATATGCCCAGAGCGTGCGGGTATTTATTTGGAACATTTATTTGGCGCATAAAAAGCAGAGCTATCTACATTACTCAAAAGATATAAAAAAAAGTGCACGCACAGCACGAAGGAATTTGAAACAAGGACTGCCAACTGAAAGTTTTATCGAAGAAGCCAAATATGAGGTCTGACAACTGAAAGTTTTGTTGACGAAGCTAAGTATATAATAAACATGAATGAATGAGAAAAAGTTTAGGCTAGAATGTTAGTCAAACGCAGGGTGTACGTGGGTAAGATGGGATGGCGCATCAACTATGGGCTTCGGGAACTCGCTAGTTCTATAAACACTGGTGTCAGTAGCGGTCTATTCATACATTTTACCAAACGCGGCTGCACCCTCAGACAGTTCGATATCACCCACTTCAATCCCTGTCATCAAAGGCATGCGTGGGAGAGTGTCGAGGCCTTTGCCACCTACCTATGCGTAAGTGCGTAAGTGATGCGTGAGTGTTCTGTCACTTATCAGTTGGAAAAAGAATTCAGCTTTTGGACGTCAAGCACGTGCTCGAAATTCTAGCCTAATATATATTTTTATTATTTTGTGTATTTAAGCGTATACATTGTTTCTGCAGTAAACCTGTGCCCCACCATGATGGCCTAAGGGCTAAAGCACTCGGCTAGTGACCCGCTTGTCGCGGGGTCGAATTCCGGCCACTGCGGTCAAATGATTGAGGCCCGTGTGCATATGTTGAGGTGCACATTATAAGAAATTCCAACTACTCGAAAATTTCAGAGCACTCCAATCCAGTGTCTATCTAATGATATCGTTTTTTGGGACAGTAAACTATAACATTTATTAATATCTAATAAAACTTTAAGTACGTAGGCAGCGTCCGGCCTCGTGTCCCCTTTCTTCGTTTAATATTCGCCTGCTTTTTCAGCTTTCTAGTTATGTACAAACTAACCCACTTTTCACTGCTTCTACAGTTTTAAATGGCCCCGCTGCGGTAATCTAGTGGCTAAGGTACTCGGCTGCTGAACCGCAGGTTGCGGGTTCGAATCCCGGCTGTGGCGGCTGCATTTCCGATGGAGGCGGAAATGTGTTAGGCCCGTGTGCTCAGATTTGGGTGCACGTTAAAGAACCCCAGGTGGTCGAAATTTCCGGAGCCCTCCACTACGGCGTCTCTCATATTCATATGGTGGTTTTTGGACGTTAAACCCCACATATCAATCAACAGTTTTAAATGCGAAGCATTTCTTAGCGAACTTCGGTGACCTTGAGAGTATCTATCTATCTATCTATCTATCTATCTATCTATCTATCTATCTATCTATCTATCTATCTATCTATCTATCTATCTATCTATCTATCTATCTATCTATCTATCTATCTATCTATCTATCTATCTATCTATCTATCTGTTCGCTTACGTTTGGTCGCTATTGTGGTCACCCGCTTAACTTGGCGTGAACCAAAATCAGCATGGGAGAGTAAGATGATTTGAGAAATATGACGCGCTGGTCAAGACATGAATATGACGCAACTCCGTCGCGTACGTCTTTAAACACTTCCCGCCAGACAGTGGCACATACCCACGGACGGGTATGTGCCGCTTGTATGCGGGTATGTGCCACAGGTGATCGACACTTAGTGTCTACCCTGGAACGACGAGAACACACATGGGTAATTTTAACACGTGAGCATTAGGCAATACCTGACATCGGTAGCGTCGATCCAACGAAAACATAGAATAAAGCTTAGGGTTCCAGCTGGAATCAAACCAAAGCATTCTGCGTGGCAACGAAGCATTCTACTGCAGAGCTACGCCAGGTCTCGGAACCCCTTTTCAAATAGAGGCTAATCTTCGTGAAACGTTGATAGTGGTTGCAGTGCTGTCTAGCCATCTTTACAAACATTACATATGTACTCCTTTGATATAGCCGTCATGTCAGGTTAACGTCAATTGTGCTTAGTTTTCATGCGGTGAAGTTGATTTATGCAGCAGGGTCCAGGGCCTGCATCTTCGCGAGAATGAGCGCTTCATATCAGCTCCTGATGTTGGTAATACGCATGTTCCTGTTCGCACCACTGCACAAGTGCAAGCAACTCGTTATATAAACATCAGCAACGATCAATTTTCTCTTCTACTTATGTCTGTGCGTGCAACATTTGTACATATATTTAGCATCATTTCTTCATGTGTCGCGCAATAAACAAATTGCAACACTGCCACCTTCCCTCCGCATGCTTCGCATAAAGTCAATTCCCAGGTACGTGGGATCTGCCGAATTTTTTAACTAGTCTGAGTCGCAGTACAATCCAGTATACAATACAGTACAATACTAGTCGCAGTGCAATACAATATATTTTGCAGTAAAATAATGGCCCCAGTGGCACTGCTCTGCGCATTTGCGGCATCGCCATCGGCATGAACTCCTGGTTGCCGCACTCACCTTTATTTTTCGCCGTTAAGATGCGACTGTCAGGTCGACAACAAAAAATACTTGACTACTATATATAAACTACAGAAAAAAAACTGTTCATGTAAATTAGGATGCTCCGCAAGGTGTGCGCACAAATCTCTATAAAATCTCTATCTAAAATCTCTATGAAGGTGAATATCTGCGCTTGATGTCCATGATGTCATATACCCATGATGTCGTACTAGCGGGAAACGTTTCCGTCAAGCGGCGATACGCATGCGACACGCACAAGCGGTGAACACATTTATGATTGATTGATTTGTGGGGTTTAACGTTCCAAAACCACCATTTGATTATGAGAGACGCCGTAGTGGAGAGCTCCGGAAATTTTGACCACCAGTGGTTCTTTAACGTGCACCCAAATCTGAGCACACGGGCCTACAACATTTTCGCCTCCATCAAAAATGCAGCCGCCGCAGCCGGGATTTGAACCCGCGACCTGCGGGTCAGCAGTCGAGTACGGTAGCCAGACCACCGCGGCGGGGTGTGAACACATTTGTATACTTATTTATTTATTTATTTATTTATTTATTAGCTTTTTCAACAAAACAATTGAAATGATGCAGATGGCAGAAGAGGAAAGGACAGATCACCAGTGAGTAATTGCGTCTTGTATTGCCGTTCAAAAAAAACATTGTTCTAGCAGGTGTGCAAAGTCTCAATAACCATTGCACTATGTGATTAAAATTTGTAAACAGGGGCTGGCCGACATTTCGACAGGTGGGCTTATCTTCAAGGCTGAGACTAATTTCCTCAGCGCTTGCCTGTCTATTGTTTTTGCTGTTTCCTTCAATCCAAGCAAACGAAAAGGAGGAGGCAATTGTGAACGCTAGCATGGTGCAAAAGACGAGGCCACCAGGGTGAAATAGATGAATGGCTTGTCCGTGCTGCTAGGAACTCACCAAAGTGAGCACAAACAAAAACGTTCACCGGGTGAAGCTCATGGTCTTGTATGTCTGTTCTTTTTTTTTGGGGGGGGGGGGGGGGGTCGATCACTTCGTGTGGTTTGTGGCAGCACGAACGAGCCATGCACTTGTACCATTTGGCCCCCACCAAGGCTTTGCTTGAACTGTCTTTTGTAGCCACCCTTACCAAGACCCCGTTCTTCATCTGCGCACCACATAACCCTTAAAAAGAACTGCGGACACGCGTTATTTGCACAGCACAATTTTTTTCTTTAGTTTCTTGCAGGACCTCCATTGCGACTCACGAACCCAAAATGAGGCATCCGCCTGCGTTCACCGGCAGCTTACTTCTACACTGCTTCGTCACCGGGATTTTCGTTGCGGGTGAGGCGACTGAGTGCCGATGGGCGTACGCAGTTCCCGAACTCGGAACAAGTCGCCTGCTGATCTACGACGGCAAACCGCCGGCAGCCACACACATTGACGGTGCACCGTTACTGGCTCCCGTGGCATGGGCGAACTTCCGCGACGACATCCAGATCAGTGGGTGAGTCCCGCGTAGCGCTACAATTTACTAGTCATGTACTTCCTCTCCACATATTTTCCAATGCTGGAGATGAGGATGAAAACTGTTTTCTCGCAGCAGGTTTTTTAACTGCACAATCAAAGAAGAGGGTGTTGAAACAGGAAAAAGCGTTATTAATTTCTCTCTATAAGATGTTTCTCTCTATAGTGTCTCTAAGTAATTCTAAGGACCATATAATTTATCACGCTGCGCTGACGATGCAACGTTTGCAAGAAAAGGCAAGTGTTTCCAACGCTTTGCTAAGATGACACGGTGGTGGCTCCTACCCATCGCCTTGGGTTCTACACCTTATCACCTCAGAGACGGTCGCGCATGCCACGTGTTCCGTTTTCCTTGATAACTGCCAGATGGCGCTCATGTCTCAAGCGTGACGTGACTTGATGCGCTCGTTCACCTTCGCTGCACGCTAGAGACACTCCAGAATACCATTAACCTCCGCGGCACGCTAGAGCGCCTCCAGAATACCATTAACCAATTTTCTTGCGCAGAACATCAAGTGAACGTTTTGTTCACTCTCTCCACATGCAAGACTACCGTCTTTCGACGACATTTGCAGTGTAACATGCACATACAGGGGAATTGTTTTTGTTCAGTATGATACGCCTGTCACCATTGGGCATTCGTGCTCCGTCCTCGAGGTTCGAAGCAATGCCAGCACCACGCAGCACTCTTACAATCAGCCCATTCATCAGCGTCGCCGTGACGCTTCCCAATTGACTGCCTATACATAGTGCCTCGAACAGCGACAAGCTATCTCAAAACACCATACCTCTTACAAAACCGGCCTGACTGCGACCATTACGAACACTAGGAACGTAAGACATCGCCCCACTGATCGATTCACAACTGAACAAAAAATTACTCTATACAATTGTATGAAGCACCCCATAATGGCTTCGCTTCCCTATGGAAAAATGTAACATTGTTAAGTATTAGTGCACAACACACAATGTGAGCACAAAGTTAGTCATTTAGTGATAAGTTACCGTAAGCACAGGAACTATATATGTCATCTTAAGTATACTCCTTAAAGCAGAGTCAACAGAAACTTTTTTTCGGCATAAAACTTGTGTAAAATATTCAGAAATGTTATATTTAAACGTTCTTCTACTTGAACTAGATAATAAAACCACATCAAATACGAGCTCTTGCATATTTAGGCAACAGTATATGTGATGTGCATAATTGTTGCCTGTCTGAATTTCGTGGAGCTTTACACTAACTCTAGGGCCCCTATTATTGTTGCGGTAAAGCACACATATCAGTGAGCGGTTGCAAAACTCGTTCATAGAATTATTCCAGTCTAACATAAATGTAGCTATGTGAAAACTCGATAACTTCATCTGCTTAGTTTATTGGTAAGATATATTCTATACGTTCAATTTCCAGCAATAACAAAGCTAAAGTACCGACAATATCAGTCCAATCGGGACACCAAAATTACTACGGTGACTTTGCAACGATGCAGCCCAAGGCATAAAACTATAAGTACATTGGGCTGATGTGCCAGCAGGGGGGCAGTAGCATAAGGATGAGAAATACCTGTTGACGCATGCACTCTTTTTAATTTACAGAACTAGAAAGAAATCTTGTATATGCACTATATCGTATGAACTGTGCCGTTGTGTTCTTGTTCTTCGCGCATATGTTTCACGCAGGCCTTGCTCTGTCCTGTTGCAAACAAACTCAGTTTTCTTGTTTGTTGCATACGTGACCACCGTGGGGGATAGAGGGCAAAATCTGCAGAAAATGCAAGTTTTCGATTTTCGTAGCACAATATTGGAGCATTACTGACAAGTGCTTCTACGAAGTGTCACAGTGTTATGCGCGAAAACATTTCAAAATGGCCCCAAACGCGCCTCATCCGTTAATTGCACTGCCTAAACTTTAACTATTTCAAATGGCATTTTTTTCAAACACCACTTTTCGTCCGAAAATGAACATGTTGTCAGGAGCGACTATATCTTTAAATTGCGAACTTTTGTGGGTTCTTTCTGAATAACATGCGTCGTTACTGAAGCAAAAGAATGGTGTTGCGTCAAAAATTGTATTCTTAACAAAAGTGTTTCGTCACGATAAAGCCTTCAAATTCCAACGTCATCAAGCATCTAAATATTTAACAAGAGAATGGTCTGCCTATAATAATTACTTTGATTCAGAAGGATACCCTGGGCACATGTAACACCAAAAGAAATTTTCATCAGTTTACATGCCAAATCTTTTTCACAAAAGTTCCTTGAAATACAAATAGGAATATTTATGAAATTTTACTCAAATTACTTTTAGAATGGCTTGATATATTCTTGCCAAATTAACAAACCACTTAGTAAAATTTCTATTCAAGCAACCAGCAAAATGGTTTCAGGTTTGCTTGAAAAATAACAAAGCGATAGGTGGTAGTAATAGTGCACCGGTCATTGCTATCCTTCCCCCCTTAACGAGCATTTACGTGCTGCGCCTTTTCCCTCAGTTGGGCCTACCTTGAGGTCGAATCGAGCCCAAACGCAACTGATGAAGTACAGGCGTACGCCGCTGGTGCCCTGGAAGCGTATTTGACGCGCTATCTTATGGAGGCCCAGTGGGAGAACATGTTCGCCCACTACTGCGACAGCCAGAAGGAGTTCTGCCTGAAACTGTATGACTTCCTGCAGAAAAACCTCGATTACTCGCGACTGAATGAGAAACGGCTGAGAGCCACTGACCCATACTGGAACATGGTGAGTAAACCAGGCCATTTAAACAGATAGAATGACTCACGTAAAAAGAATTGCGGAGGCGTTTCTTATGCATTTAACTAAGACCCCTTGAATGCGAATTTCATCTCCTTCTTTCTTTTTTGTACATCTTTGTAAGCGCAACGGAACAAGCACAAACAAAGAGACACGTAAACAGAATAGGCGCTAGCCATCACCTGAAAACTTCCTGCCATAAATTAGCAAATATATATTGCCACATTCCTTTCCTCCAGTTTCGTTATCATCCCTTCCCACTACGGTCAGCACTAACCGCGCCTACGATGTTTTAAAAGCTTCGAGGCTGTAGTAGATCGTTTTGTTAAGATAACGCCCACCACATGAACATTGCAGATTATTTTGGAAACCACGTCGCCGATAGCGATAACGCTAGACCATTGGATGGCAAGTGAATAAATGCCGACGTGCTTCGACGCTTGTCAGTTGATTGACGGCCGACGTTCTGTTCACTGCTATCAGTGCAAGACTGCTACTGTAATCAGACTTTCCGATTACCGGGCACAGGTTAGCCCAAGCAAACAGTTTGATCTCAACATAAAGTTTCCTGTCTCCGGCTGCGTCATGACCTCGTGACAATAGACACATGCGTAAAACCCACGAAGAGAAGCAAACGGCGCTACTCACGCTGCTACCTGCAATGACGCTTCACATACGCTGTTTTCTTTCGCGTGCAAAGTCAGTGAAGGCTTACTCACGCATTTATCAGTCTCTGTACTGATATACGAGATCGCAGTAACTAGACGAATAAGAATGGCGTGGAGCACAATCGACAAGCATTCTCAACTCATGAATGGAAGATTGCCACTATCGCTCAAGAGGAAGGTATCGGCCTCTTACCAGTACTTACTTACGGAGCAGAAACCTGGAGGGTTACAAAAACTACTGAACTTAAGCAGAGCACAACGCCGTGAGCGATGGAAAGGATAATAATAGGTGTAACCCCGAGGGTTACACCTATCATATCAAGAGAAGAAAAAGAGTAGAGCGTATCAGGAAACAAAAAGGTGTTAAAGACGTCATAGTGGAAGTGATGAAAAAAAGGCCCTGGGCAGGGAAAGTAGTGCCATGGCAAGATAACCACTGGTCATTAAGGATCACAGACTGGATTCTAAGGGAAGGCAAGTGGGTCAGGGGGATACAGAGAGTTCAGGTGGCAAATGAGATCAGGAAGTTTGCAGGTAAAAAGTGGCAGGAAAAAGCACGGGACAGAGTTGAGGGGCGGAAAATAGGAAAAGCCCTTTTCCTGCATGCAATGAGCGTAGTGAGGCTGATATGGTGATGGTTATACTGATAAACAGTAGGCCTGGCAACTTCCGCAAGCTTGCTGAGCAGCAAAGATACGCAAGATACGGGTGCCCTTAAAGTCAAGCGTGCACACCTTGGGCAGTAACCTGCGAAATGCCCAACCCCACCAATGAATTTCATATATCAGCGTTAGTAGCCCGGCCCGCATCTGTTAGGAGGTTCTGCGCATGTATGTAGATATTCGTTATTTTTATGTCAGTACATTATCAGCTGATGTCTTACATCCATTCCTTTTCCGTGTCTCTTTATCTTGTGTTTGTTCCGCTGCGCTTGCTAAGATGCAATGGTTCTCCATCCACCAACTAGCCCGAATTCTTGTGATGAACAATTCTCTCTTTCTCCTCAGTAGAAGTGTTTGTTTTTCACACCCCTTTCAGCGATATTATTGCTCCTAAAGTAGTTTTCCACTGCCTCGAAGATCAGAGGCAAGTTAAGCTTTCTACCCGGTGCGGGCCTTTGCGCGGCCTCTGTGATCAGCCCATCTTTGACCCAGTGGCGGCGTCATGTCATGACGTCCCCCTGTGGAGTCACGTAAGTAGGATAAGCTGGGTGATAACATGTGTAGCCTCACTACGGTAGCCTAACAGCGTTACCATTTTTTTGAGAGAGATCTGTGACTTCTCGATGATGTCGTAAGGTCACGTGTTCACGCTACGATGTTTTTTTCGCATCACTGGTGTTGACGCTGACGGCGCGGGATGCCGACAGTCAATGTTCACATTTCAGGAAGATACTAAATCTCACCCTTCAATAACCATGACTGATGACACCTCACCTTTCTGTCAGCATACCAGCCTGGTGCAGGAAAGCCCCACTGGCACGTGAAAGTGAAGTTTGTGATAGCCATACTAGTTCGCGTTTACACGGTCAGCCCTTGAGCTTGATGGGGCATGCAACAAGCAGGCTTAGAAATCACAGTTTGCTCCAATTATAGAGAGGCAGGCACAGTAAAGAAGTGACAAAATTTGGAGCCGTTGATTCTTTCATTTGGCGCGAAAGAGAATGGTCATTCTGATCTGCTGACAGATGCACGTTTTCTTTTTGTAAAATAGAAATTTATTCAGCACCATGAACGGCAACCCCCCTACCCCCCCAAAAAAGGGATAGGGGGGACCTTCGTGTTAGGGTTGCCAAGTTTGAAGGCAGTGCACAGCTGTGCATATTTTTCTAGTACCTATTCCATTTTTTCTTTCCTCATTTACTTTTGCTTTTTTTATTTTTGCCTTTCTTTATACCATTACATGCGAATACCTGATCCCTTCCTCCCTCTTTATCTATTTCTTTCTCTCTAGTGTTCTTTCTATTCTCTTTCCATTTTTATGGTCCTTTCTTATTATTATGCGCTTGCTTTCTCTTTTATTCTGCTTTAGGCGGGGTTCTTCCGCTGTTACGTCAAGCGAACGAGTTGATGTTTTTACTGATGATGCTAAGTGACCGTCGTTAATGCGCGCACACACACACACACACACAAAAACGCCAGGCCTGCGTGGTAGGCGCAGTACAGTCACAGCGAAAGCTAGAAGGACTGCCTTTCATCCTTTTGAAAACACTCCTTGGGTAACTACTGCAAGCACACTAGCTTGGTACCCACTAGGGCATTAATAGTAAACTTTTGGGTAGTAGGCTGGCATTCGCATTGCTATTTTTCGTCATTCTATTGAGAAGCGTAATATCCGCTAAACACTTGCAAGGAATTCTGTGCCAATAGTCCATGCAGTGGCTAAGGACGATGAAGAGTCATTGTTGAAGAGGGTATGCGCCACAGTTTATAGGGGATCAAAAACAAGGTTTTGTGATGGTTTGAAGCATTGGACGGCCCGCTCGTTACGCTATTCGAATTGTGCGACGACTGGTTCTTCTTTCATTGCTGTAAAACGCTTTATAAGTCGTATTAACGAGATTGCTTTCCCGACATCAAGTCTGCCTAAGGCAAGTTTGACAACATGTGGCAAGCACAGGTGCAGATCAGTCGCAGAATACTGGGCTGGCACCCAGCGGACCCGGGTTTGAGCCCCACTGTGTCATTGGCACTAGGTTTTTTTTTTTTCTGATTTCGCGCGATGTGGTTACGGGCACCAGCGGCGGCGGCGGCGGCAGACAACATGCAACTGCGCGTGATTCTTAAAGTGATCTCATAACAGTTTTCGCTGTAATAATATCTACATGACTTCTTGGCGTTAACACAATATGCTACAAATGTAGCGTTAGGCCAAGCTACAATGGCGGCATGTGACGGCCCCTCTCCCTCAAGTACTCCGTAGGTGAAAAATTATGGCAGGTTCATGCTGGAGTAGTGTCAGCCCTCAACAAAGAGCACAGCTTGGCGGTCAACCTTTTTTTTTTTGGGTTCGTTTTCGCAGTTTTTCCTTATTTTGCTTTCCCATTCAGTTATTTTGTTGTGGTATCGGTTTCTTCCTTTTTATTTGTTTCTTTTCAATGTCTTTCTTCATTTGATTGCCTGATCCCTCCTCCTATTTGTCTTTCTCCTTTTTTTTCATTCTCTCTCTCTCTCTCTCTCTCTCTCTCTCTCTCTCTATATATATATATATATATATATATATATATATATATATATATATATATATATATATATATATATATATATATATATATATATATATATATATATATATATATCGCTTCATCGTTTGTTTCACGTGTTTTTATCTCTCAGATTTTTTTCTCCCTGTTTCCTTGTTTCTTTCTATTTCTCTATTCCCTTATCTTTATGCCTTGCTGTGTTTTTTTTGTCTTTTTATATGTGTCTGTCTTTCTTTCTTTCTCGTTTTTTATATAAATCGCGTTTCGCTGTCTATCTTTTATGTCTTTATACGTCTTATTTGTTTCGACTGTTTATTGACTTCTCTTACCGTCTCTTTTTCTCTCTTTCGTTCTGTTTCTTCCTTTCTCAGTGTGTAACAAGCGCTTCGCAGGCTTCACCCCACCTTTACTTCTATTTTTCTTTTATCTTCCATTCTATGGCTTTATTTTTCTCCTTCTTTTTTATCTTTCTCTCCTCATTCTCGCTCTCTGTTTCTGTCTTTTTGTCTGTCTCTTTCGTGTGCTTTGTTTCACACCGCAGAGTTGTTCCTTAACGCTCAAATCTAGCCACATGGTAGTGGACCTTCCCCAGTTGCTGCGGAACACCCCCCATCTGTGGAGTTGTTCACATTGAGCAGAAGTTACACATAAATGGCTTCTGTTCAAAGCTGCAAATGACAATTACCGAGAAACAAGCTCACTGGAGTTACACAAGCTGTTATCTGGTGAATTTCGACTCGTTGAATAGTGTTCGCGAATTCATGGACAAAGAAAGAACGTAGACGGGACATGTGCATGGCATTTTCTAAGCTATATTCTTTGTCAATACTGGCTGAGTTTCCGTGTAGTTTTATCTAACCGCCCAACGAGCTCCACTTGCCGGTTACCCTGTGCTTCGCATGTTCTCCGTATGCTTGGCAGTAGGGCTGCGCAAACAGTGAACTTAGAAAATAATTGAATAAAAATCAAAGATTAACGAGACCGGATTGAATAAGAGTGCGAATCGATTGCTCTTCGAATGGTTTTCGAATCATGAGGCAATAATTTTTGAAGTACCCTGAACGTGAAACTAATAATCAGCAGAAGAGCTGAATAATTGTACGAAGTGTTATATGAATTAAACCATCCGACCCTTTGCAAAAGAGCATAATTTTTGTTAACAGACAAACACTACGAAATCTTCAACTGAGGCAACACCGTACGCATCAAGCAGAAGCTAGAGCAATTGAACTATCGGGCTGAGTTATAGCAGTGTCTACAGTATTTTAAGTATCACTTTGAGAGCAGATTTAAATTAAAAAAATAGATAAATATTTGACCATTTTCTTGAGTTGAAGGAAGAAAATAGGAGCAAAAGAACAGCAGAAGGTTAACCAGTCTATAGGAAGCTGGTTTGCTATCCTGCGCATGGGAGGGGGATGGGGGAGATGAAAGATAGAGATGAAGTAATTATTAATGACAGGGTGAAGAAAGTAAAATAATGGCGATGCCGTTTCGGCCTCAGTGGTGCTCTACGCAAGAACTTCACCCTATTTTCGATATTGCGTTCACAGTCCCGTATGAACGTGGGCTACATGCATATGAAAAATTTGAAGGAGAAAACAAGAAATGCGATCTTTGCTGTTCTAACATCTCGTACCTTCGAAAATTGTTAGTTGGTGCTGATTATGCGGTAACATATTCGGTACTCCCAAAATGCACAATTATATTCATGTACCGAATGCAATAGGAAGCTATTTGCTACGCTATAGAAATTATCACTGCTCGAGCGCCCTTTTGGAGGGACTGAGTCCCATATTAGAGTGTTCGTCTATCACACGAACAGCATTTTGATGAATGGCTTCAAACCACAAAAAACATACGTAATTGTGCGAAGTTCTTCTTTACATCACGTCTTCATAGGCTGCGAAAGCGTGAAGCATGCCCTAGCAGCTGGGAACCCTAAAATTTGCTCATTGTTGCCCATTTAATCGACGCTGTTCTGAGAACCTAATACTCTTAAAGTGCAACCTCTGCTCTCATAGCTTCTATTTTGTTTACTTAGTAAAATGCGCCGTGAAGCCGCAAGATCTGACGCGTACAGCGTCGGCTGAGGACAAGTGTTAGTGTCGCGTGAATGAGTTTGAATCGCAGTGTACTATAGATGTGGTGATGCTCAGTTGCATTACACGTTGGGCTTGAAATATCTTTGTATATTATTAGGGACCCTAGCATTTTCTGAAGACTATTACGATGAAAAAGGACTTGATGCGAGAAGTGGTACTGCCTTCGGGGTAACTAATGAAACCAGCAGGACAAGCAGCGACGCATGCCCAGAAAATTGGAGCGTGCCAGCTCACACTTCGGGCATCCGATAAGTGGATGATTTGAGTGGTGACCTTTTTGCTTGACTAAAGCAAGGAGGTACCGTAACGATTGGACGCTAGCTCCCTTATTTTGATGCGCTCGCTGCTATGATACGTTTTTTATTGTCTGGTATCGAAAGAATTGATGTCGAAGTCTGTGTGGAGCACCTTTTTTTTTGGTTGTTTGTAGTTCGCTCGTAGTGCTTCATCCTTCAACGCTTATATAGTTTCCTCAATATTCCAGCTTGTCCTCACAATACTGGGACTGCGTTGAACAGTCGTATATTTATAGTGTTCAAACTCACTTGCTTCTCCAAATGAGCCACTGAATAGTCCCCAAGTGCGCTTCTCTGTTCTACATATTCAACCCAACAATGCCGGCGGCAACTGTCGGCCTTCAAGTGGAGATGAGGTTTTAGTTGCACACGCTGGGGCTTCTCTAATGTGCACGTTATTACAATGTAATTCGAGTATACGCTTCCCGCGCCATAAAAAGTATATATACTACGCTCAGACTTGGTGTTTGTAGTAAGTGAATAGCAGTCACTAGCTGGGCAAACTGCATTGTAAAAACGCAAGCCTTACATTCATGGAAATTGTAAAATCGCTGTTCGTACTTTATTCTATCGACAGGTGCATCTCCAGATGCGGCAGCTTCATGGCCTGAATGACGCCTTCGAGAACGCCACTCTTGACACGTCGCAGGAACTTACGAATGTCTCCAGAGCTTTGTAAGCATTTCAGACATTGTGTTTAGCAGATCTATTTAGTAGGAACGAAGTATGCATATATGTCTTTTATCATGTTGTTAACGTCTGCCGTGGAACCAGGAAAACTGACAAGTCCCCTTATTTATTTCCTTAGGGCGACTCCAAAACAAAAACTTAAGCAGAGGCGTTGCCTGGTTCCATAGTCTCCAGGATCGGATGCACAGTCGCCAGGATCTGATACCGACATTCCTTTACCGAACCAATAGTGTCATGCGATTACGTCCTACTAACACCATGATATCAGCGGCATTATGTCAAGTTGTAACAATCTATGACGTAAAGTTGTGATGTCATACGTTATGTTGAGTTTTTACATCACTCCTGTTGACTTGTTATGTCGCGGGACGCCGACGCTGGCGGTAATTTTTCGCGTTTGTTAATGCATATCAGGATTTTTAGCTCTAAATGATTTATATCGCTTTAAAACCACGTAAACCTGATTGTGGGTGATTGAACAGATAATACCAGAACGATTGCAAGAAGTAGGATCACCGTATTGCAACTGAAGTAAAAAACAATAAATAAAAATAGCGGACGACCAGATCACGCTTTGTTGCTCGGATTAACTCAAGCACCGACCACGATTCGTCGCTTGGCAACAGAAACACTGGCATTTCTTGCCATCCGCAACATGCCGCTAGCGGGACGTAGGGCTCCACGTGCGCCGTATATTATGTAATTACCGAAGATAACTGAGCTCCAACTCATAAATGTTTCTTACTGCTTCATTGTACGGACAAAATGTTATCTATAAAACCTTACACCTATACTCATAAACACCATATTTGGCGACTACATCATTCTCTGAAAATTTGCCAAATGCTCATAGCACAAAACTATAACAAAAAGCATGATGCAAGCTACTAAAGTCATAATATATGACTGGTATAGTACCACACAAATGGTTTCGTAATCACAACCTCATTTTTTGGTTGCCCGGTACTATTATCATATATTCTATCTCCCGATCTTTGTTTTGTTTGAAGTAAATGGATAGTATTTTGAATAAACTGACCCTTGACCCTATTTTACAGGCTGTTCAGTCTTGTCGGAGATTTTATCGACCTCGAAGCAGCATTGAGGCGCCCCGAGGACTTGTACTCTCTCAGCCTGGTGCCGGCTTGTTCGGCACTGATCAAAGTGGTCGGTAACAACGAAGATCTCTACGTGGGCCACGATGCTTGGTTCCTATATAAAAGCATGCTGAGAATCCAAAAGAAGTACACATTTCCCTGGCACTATCTGTCAGGCAATACGGAACTAGGTGAGTATTGTATCAGACATGTAGTGTTTTCTTCTAGAAACGAATTCTTCGGGAAAGAGTATCCTGTGCCCCGCCGCGGTGGTCTAGTGGCTAAGGTACTCGGCTGCTGACCCGCAGGTCGCGGGTTCACATCCCGGCTGCGGCGGCTGCATTTCCGATGGAGGCGGAAATGTCGAGGCCCGTGTGCTCAGATTTGGGTGCACGTTAAAGAACCCCAGGTGGTCAAAATTTCCGGAGCCCTCCACTACGGCGTCTCTCATAATCATATGGTGGTTTTGGGACGTTAAACCCCACAAATCAATCAATCAAAGAGTATCCTGTACAAGGGCTATCCTTGTGATCTCCAATCGCTTACGACAACGTCGAAAGGCATTGGTCTCAGGCTCGAAACTTGTAATAGAATATGTTTCTTTCCTAGGAATGCTTATTTCTTGAAATCGTTGTAGAATTTTTTTGGTGGTTGTGGCTGCAAACTTTTAAACTTTGGTGATTTTTTTCTGGTGTGACCTTTCTTCTTCATGTGGGTTTTCGTAGAACTTGTTTTCCCAAGTGAACGTCACGGCTTTCACCTTCAAATTTTGACATAAATTATTACCATGCTGAAAAACGCAAAGCGAAGGAAAGAAAATGTATTGCTCTCCGCTTTGATGAGGCTTCCATAGGCGGTGCAGCGTTCTCTACAATTTGAGGACATCTACTTGAACGTGTAAATTATCAACCTTCACACATATAAGGAGCACAATTTTGAATTGTTCTACTGTCCAAGCAATTATTCCAAATAAATTTGCAGTGTAAACATCTCTAAAACCAATACCATTTTCGCTTTTCTTTAAATATTGTTTATCTCTAGGTGCTATAGTACCGAGACAGATACTACACCTCACTACTAGAAAACTTCTAATATACGTTCCCGTTTCAGTAGTTCCTGCTGTGCACCAAAGGACAGGAGCGAAATTATTAAGGGAATTGTATTTCGCAGCTTGTTTCCCTTTATAAATGTGTCGTAAATGTGTGGCTCATGAAACGTGTAAAAATTTACATTGTCGTGAATTACTCAACATTATTTTTTTTATTTATGCAAGCCATTTCATCCTCTCTTTCCTATGCACTTTCTCACATAGAGTACGATAGTTCTCATTTTTACTGACACTTCCTCTCACAAAAGAACATTGTAGATGTCAAATCGAAAGCAATAGAAGCATTGTGTCCTCCTTGCCTTGATTGGGCAACTTGGAAAAAAAGAGAAAGACAATAAGGATGAAAAAAAGGCAGGAGGTTGACCCTGGCTGAACCTGGTAGGCTGCCTTGCACTGGGAAGGTAGTAAGAAGAATAAAAGTTAGAGCGAGAGAGAAGGAGAGAAAAGTCACTCATGCCATCGACAAAACGACAGTTATGTGCTTAAGATCACAGACTGTGAGACACCCATGTCTTAATCAAATGAGAACACTCGTCGCATTACGTAACTTGTATTCATGGTCCCATGGCACCCATAATCTTTCGGATGTAGAAGCCATGATGGAGCTGCTTGCGTTTTCAAGCAGCAGACTTCTGAAGGGTTGCGTGAACTGGAGTAATGGTGTCAAGCAGTCGGAAGACGCTTGAAGCTGTTAGTGTCTGCATCTTGCTCAGCAGCACGCGTGTAGCACTGACTTTTCCGATAACGTCCTTCTTTGTCCGTCAAGTTATGAGGTACCGTTAAAGTGTCCCTCAATGTCGAAGTGACACGCCTCTAATCAGGTCTATATATCTGTGGGAGTTCGGGCCAAGCTTCACCTGCATCACTGGTAGAGCCATCACTTTCCTTTCAGACGGCTGCATTCGGACTAGGTAGTAAAGAAAAAAAGTCAGCTCCACAACTCGCAGAAGCACCTTTGTTCTTAGAACCGACAGGCCTTGGCCCAAGAGGGAGAGGTGGAGGTGGCTTTGGACGTGCTTTGCGAGGCGACGAGGTTTTGGAGGCTTTGAATCAGCGTCGGTGACGGGGCCGTCGTCGTCTAATGGATGCAGATGCTTCTCAGTGTAATATGTCATCCCTAGCCCCTTTCTTCAGTATTCTTAGCACCCTTCGAATAAAAGTCCTTCGAGGAGGCATAATACGGCCCTTCTGTGTAGTGGTCTGGCACGTGTCCTTGTTGTGATGGCCAGTGCATAGAAAACAGATGGTAGAGTTTGTGCACACACCACTTACGTGACCTAACTTCATGCACTTCCAGCGCTGAAATGTTTTCGGTAGAAATGAGCAAACTGCGTGTCGTAAGTGGCCCACTTTTACGTGTGATGGATGATATTCGTCTTAAATGTAATTCCTTTGCATCGTGATATTCTGATATGACATATACTTGCAATAATGACATCTTACGAAGCCAGTCTAATTAGGACTGGTAGGTCCAAGTTGATAATGGATTCGACCACCTCACACAGAACCCCAGTGCTCACTTCTTTTGCCCAGCGGTGTATGAGAGCGCACTTCCATTTCATTACGTTCCTTAACTTCACGCAATCGGTCCGGCGCAGTCACATAATTGACATCACATGATTGACGGAAAACTTTCGCTGCACCAATGAGACGATTCTGTCTCGTATTAGAAAACTAACAGGCATGTCTACAGGCCCTTGATGCCTCATTCACAGAGCGGTCTTAAACAAGCATCATTTTTGTACCAGAAGGTCATCCCTGAGGAACCGCTCTATAAAAATTTGAACGCGCATTGGCACTCGATTTTAGGTGGCAGAGAAGGAGTGCGTAAGTGAGTGAAATTGCTTTAGTTGGGCCACAAAAAACGCCAGTACTTTCAACGTCACCTTTCAAGACCGACTAGGGGACCATCAGGTTGAACAGGACGGCCCTCGCGCGGGACCTCTTGAACGGCCAGGGTTTGAGAGATGTGGTCCTGGTCGTTATTGAGCTTTTTTTTATTTCCTCTTAAGTGTAAAGGGAAGCGACAGGTGCGTAGTGCCACAGTACATACTGGATGTCTCCATAGGCGTCAGGCTGCCCAGGCGGCGCTGCGAGAAACGCCGCCACCAGCACTGTCATCGCCGCACATACCATACCTGGAAAGCAAAAAGGGCTGTCCGCAAGCAAACGTGGTCAGGTCCCCCCCCCCCTTTTTTTTTTGTTGGTAATGAGGCACGGTTTTCTAAAAATCAAGGACTTAGTAAGCTTCTTCCGTCCATTTAGCTTCGCTTCAGAAAGTAAGAAGCTCATCAGAGCGAAGTGCGAGTACAACAGAAAAGATGTTTCAGTTCTTTCAGCGTTCGGCCGCACATGAAAAAGGGTTGCGAGTTTTCTGCTGGAAATGGAGTTTCCAGCTGGGTTTCCAGCAGGAAATAGCTCGTAAGGCTGGGAATTTTATTTCCTACTGTAAATGGTACTCCCAAGCCAGAAATGGAACGCAACTCGTGAATTGAGTGCATGCTATAGCATGGCATGACAACGAGTTTGAGGCAGGCGCATGGCCAGTCATTTTTTTCACGGGGGGAGCTCCGTGATTTCTGGAGAGGCACCTTCTGGAAATGGGCGCTTTTCGCTCTTTATGCCATGGCAGAAAAAATTTCGAAGGGGGGTGGGCGCACGGGCCTGGTGTGCCACCTATTGGTTAAAGGCAAGCACTTCAAAGTGCCTTCACTAACGCCTAAATACGCAAATTTCCGTATGCGCATGTTGCCAAAGCGAACAAGTGCATGCACTAGCAATGTATTGTCGGAAGCTTTGTTGAAGTTCATAAAGTTACTACGGTTCACCGTTACTACAGTTCACCGTACTCAAAAGAATAACAGGAGCCTTCATTGTCAAACGTTCTCATGTGACCGGCCGTGCAGTACGCGAGTAATTCGCTTAACCAACACAATCGCAACGGCCTGTACCCAGTGATATCACCGTTCTGCCTTGCGAGAGCTACGGCAATCCGTAAAACTGAAGTCCTTTACGTCCGTGACAATTCAAAACGCAACAGTAGCATGACGATAGTTATAGCGCAAGAACAAAACGATGACACAGAGACAAGAAGAAGCCGAAGGACTGGCGTCTCCTTCTTGTCTCTGTGTCGTCGTTTTGCTCTCGCGCTATAACTGTCGTTATGCTATACCAACAAGCCCAAGCTGTCACACTTCTAAGCAACAGTAGCGTCGACTGAAGTCTTTTTTCGGGGAGCGCAGGAGTAGTGAGTGAGAATTTATTAGAAGGCAGAGAGGTCGGCCTGAGCTAGTTCGCTCTAGCCTGCTACTCTACACAGGGGATAAGGGAAAGGGGAAAGAAAGAGGGATGAAGGGTGATGATTGGGACAAGAAGAGGTGGTGCGTATGTACAGTAGCCACTTAGTATAGTACCCTACAGTCTAGTTTCTAGTCCAGTGCTTTTTATAGAGTCTAGAACAACCTTTGTAGCAGTTTTTGACACTGTTTGGTCGTTCATTGCTGACAATATGTGGCTTTCACTTAATGGTGTTCGTTCAATGCTTGCCAACGTTGCAGTTAGCATTTCTCGTTGTGCCACGTATAATGCACAGTCACAAAATATGTGAGCTATTGTTTCGCGCACTTGGCAGCGTTCACAATTTGGGCTGTCCGCACGGCCGATAAGGTGGGTGTAGTGACGAGGGAAGGCGACGCCCAGGCGAATTCGGTGCAGTATGTTAGCATGTCTTCGGCTGATTTTATCTGGAAGACGAAAAGTCATACTGGGGTCTGTTTCCCGCAGGCGCTTGTTCCGGTGATCTGGTAGCAACCAGTACGTGGCAGCGCATTCGCGCATGAGTGATCTCAACAACGTGTTGACGTCACCTCGCGAGTAGGGTACTTTGACGTACATAGGAGCGTTGTATATTGCCGCTCTTGCTTCGCTATCGGCAGTTTTCGTTGCCAACCAGGCCGCAGTGTCCGGGAATCCATTGGATTGTAATCAAGTGACCGCCCCTGTGTGTTAGGTCAAATGCTTGGACGATTCCTAACGTTAACTCGTAAAATTGGCCTCTTCTTAAGCAAGAATGGATAGCTTGAA